GTGGTTGGAAAGTTATTTTGAATGTTGACCCAGCCAAGGAATCAGGCTTCAAGCGTCTTCTAGAATCAGGAGGTGCAAAGGTGTGTATGTGTTTAACTGTTCTGATATCAGTATACTTGATAATCATAGGTGAGGAAAATGTTACTGTTTCAATAAAAATAATGCTTTTAGATTATATGTTAAACCTCAGTAATTTTTACAATTGAAAGAATTCCTTTTGTCAAAAATATTTCTGGAGATGCAATTTAGATGCATTAATTATATATGAAAAATGTTTTTCATAGACTCATAGGGTTGGAAGGGACCTTAGAGATCTTCTAGTCCAGCCCCCTGCCCAAGGCAGGAGTCCTCAAACCATCTCAGATAAATGGTTGTCCAATCTTTTCTTGAAAACCTCCAGCAATGGAGCACCCACAATTCTGGGAGGCAAGCTGTTCCACTGCTTAATAATTCTCACTCTCAGGAAATTCCTCCTTATTTCCAGGTTGGATCTCCCTTTGACAAGTTTCCACCCATTGCTTCTTGTCCTATCCTCAGGTGCTATGAAGAATAAATCAACACCCTCTTTCTTGTGGCAGCCCTTCAAGTATTGGAAGACTGCTATCATGTCTCTCCTTAGTCTTCTCTTTGTTAAGCTAAACATACCTAGTTCCTTTAGCCGTTCTTCATAGGATTTAGCCTGCAGACCTTTATCATCTTTGTTGCTCTTCTCTGCACGCTTTCTAGGGCCTCAACATCTTTTTCATATTGTGATAACCAGAACTGTATGCAGTATTCCAAATGTGGCCTCACCAGTGCGGTGTAGAGCGGTACTATCACTTCCCTTGATTCTGATACTATCTCTCTGTTGATGGAGCCCAGGACTGTGTTGGCTTTTTTGGCGGCTGCAGCCCATTGCTGACTCATACTTAAGCGGTGGTCCACCAGGACACCTAGATCCCTCTCATAGGCACTACTGTTGAGCCAGGTATTGCCTATCCTGTACCTGTGGTTTTTTCTGCCTAAATGCAGGACCTTAATTTTCTCTCCACTGAACTGCATCTTGTTGGATAGGGCCCAGTGTTCAAGTCTGTCAAGTTCCTTCTGAATCTTGAATCTGTCTTCTCAAGTGTTAGCAATTCCCCCCAGCTTTGTGTCATCTGCAAATTTGGTGAGCACCCCTTCAATCCCCTCATCTAGGTCCCCTCATCATGAAGATGTTGAAGAGCACTGGGCCCAAGACAGAACCTTGAGGTATTCCACGTATACTTGAGGTACCCTATGCATTGAGGTACCCCACACATACTTCTCTCCACATAAATGTAGTTCCATTAAGGACCACACCTGAGTGCGGTTGGTCAGACAACTGCAAATCCATCTGGTAGTGGTACTGTCTATCCCACATTGTTCTATCATGCCAAGAAGTAGGCTGGTCTACTTACTAAAATCTAAGTATATTATACCCACAGTATTTCCTTAGTCCACTAATTTAGTCACTTTATCAAAGAAAGCAATAAGATTTGTTTGCCATGACCTGTTCTTAACAAACCCATGCTGGCTTCTAGTAATCACCTTGTTCATTTATAGGTGCTCAAAAACCCGCTACTTGATTACCTTTTCCAGGATTTTCCCAGCTATTGATGTCGAGCTGATTGGTCTGTAGTTTCCTGGGTCCACTTTTTTCCTCTTTTTAAAGATTGGAGCCACATCAGATTTTTTTCCAGTCCTCTGGCAGTTCCCCTGTGCTCCAGGAGCTCTCAAAGATTTCATTCAGTGGTTCTGAGATCACATCTCAGCTCCTTCAGTACCCGGGGTGTAAACCATCCGGTCCAGGAGACTTGAACTCATTCAGAGCAGCTAGGTGCCCTCTAACCAATTCTTTACCTATTTTGACAGGTTGGACTATTTTTTTGTTTTGCGTAAAGACAGATGCAAAAGAGGAATTAAGCAGTTCCGCCTTCTCCCTGCTGCCTGTCACCTTCTTGCCATCCTCTCCCACTAGTGGACCAGCCATTTCCTTGACTTTCCTTTTGCTCCTTACATAAAGAAATACACTTTTTTGGTTATTTTTGGCATTTGCTGCAAGCTCATTCTGAGCCTTAGCCTTCCTGACTCCATCCTTGCAGATTTGGGCTATTTGCTGGTATTCTGCTCTAGTTACAAGCCCCTCTTTCCATTTTTTATACTTATCCTTTTTATCCCTCAGCTTGTCAGAGAGCTCTTTGTGCAACCATACTGGTCTTGTCAGGTGTCTCCTGTTTTTCTTTCTCTGTGCTTATGTTTTTTGTTTGGGCCTTTACTGTCTCGTTTTTCAGAGTTTCCCAAGCATCCTGAACCATTTTTCCCTCTAGGATTTCCATCCATGGGATCCTTCCTATTCTTTCTCTTCGTTTGTTGAGCTCTCTTAAAACTCTCAACTCTTTTTTCCTTTCTAGTGGTTTTAGTGATAATATTTATATCTACATGACTCATTCAGATCTACACAGAGAGAAAGGGGGAGAGTACACTACTTATTTGTCAAACAAGAGAATTATGTAACAACTAGGAAATGATTTAGACTAGGTTTTTGCAAAATGTAGATGCAACATTGTATTGCCTCATGAGAAGAGAGTCTTACCCAAATGCAGCAGGCAATGATCAACTATCATTCGTATTGCATTATATTTCTGCAAAATACTATGTAGGATTATTTTTTTTTTAATCTCACAAGCTGTCTTTCTGGAAGTTACATGTTAGGCTTTCTTGTTCAGTTGAAATTGGCAAAGCAATTCCATATACTACATAAATAAGTAAACCAGAATCTCTGCTCATTGAATCTACAGGTGTTCCCTGCACATTCTCCACCTCACTTTAGAGAAGTTACTCATCTTTTTGCTGATCTTAATAAACTGAAACCAGAGGATGTGAGAGTTAATATAGGAGAGGCTGCAGCTCAAGGAGTGAACTGCCTGAAGCCAGAATACATTGCTGACTACCTCATACAGGTTTGCACATTAGTAGTGTAATACAATTTTGAATGATCAAGGCTGTGTTTTACTATGTGTATATGCAGTGTGGTGTTATGATTAAGGCACTGGAATAGGTTCAGGTAGATCCAAGTTGAAATCTATCCACAGCCTTGGAGGCTCACTAGGTGACTTTGAGCCAATCTCTCTTTCTCTCTCTCTCTTTCTCATTCCTTCCCACTCATTCACTCACTTTTAGCCCAGCCTACTGAACAGTGGGAAAAATTAAATAAGAGTTCTGTGTACATTGCCTCAAGCTCATTGGACAAAAGCATGGTATAAAAATGAATAATAAAATTCAGTGAATTTCAGACCCATGCCAGTCTATGACAGTGGAATGCTTTGTGCATGATTATAAGATAGGATAGAAAATCTCTTGTATTCACTTTATGTCTCAGGTACAGAGATTGTGACAATTAAATTACTCCTTATCTGTTTGGTTTCAACAAACTTTTCAGACAATGGTATACTATAATGTGTTCAAGTGGTAACTTGTTTCTCCATTACCTTTCTAATCAGGGAGATATGTTAGCAGGAAGATTAGAATAATTAGAAAAAGAAAATGTCAGATAAAAAACAGAAAGTGTGATTCTTAAAGCTCTTTCAAAAACTGCTGTCCTTCCTCCTGTTTGTTTGTTTTTTTTAAGGAATCACCATCTCCAATGGAAAACTATCATTTGCCAGAAGCTGCTGCCTATCTTCAGAATAGCAAAAGACTCGGAACTGGGTTTTCTCAAAAACGTAAAGCTGCTGAAGAAATGCATACAGCAAAGAGGTCCAGAATTCACTGAGATGAATAATCTAAAAACATAAATTTTCAATTTCTATTTGCTTTTCTTTCCAAGATAAAAGATATTAAATATTTTGTAGTATTTTTATGTGCCTTGATTTTCAAGCAAATAATAAGGGAACCTTTTCAAAACTAAACCTATACAACTTTTGTTACAGGCCTGGAGGAATATGTATTTAGATTCATATTGTACTTGAACTGGAGACTAATTCAGTGGGTACATGAAAAATGATTTAGATAGGACACACGCAGCCTCCGTGTGCCTTCACCTGCCTCCGTCTCTTCTTATTGCTTTCCACAGGGCAATTGCTGCTACATCAGCTTATACTAGGAAAGGAGATAATCCCATTTAAGTTTTTCCTGCCTTTGTAGTCTGTCTTTTCTAAAAACATGCACTTTTGCTTTAGCAGCTCAAGAATTTTCTTTTCAACAGAGAGAACAGTTAAGCAACTCTAAAAAGATAGAACATCACCTTCTAGGCCAAGGGCCATCTGATTTTTAAAGTTAAAAAAGAATAATTCAGAATTGCCAGTCATCACAGGAGTGGCCTAATCAAGATTTCAGACTTTTTATTTTATTTGTACCGAAACCACTTGTACACTGGGGTGTAATTTATATAAAGCTCTAGTTTTGAAAATAGATTATTTTTGACATGTTTAAAGTATTCTCCCAGCTCTTTTATTTGTTAAATCAATGTTTTAATAGCAGTATCAAGAAATTTGTATGCAGCAGGTATCAGCCAGTATCTGAGGCAGTTTATTTAAATCAGCCTTCTATTGATTTATATTTGAAAGACAAAATGAATCCACTAGCAGTGGTAGGAATAGCAAGATTTCAAATAACAACTGCTTTGAAGCAAGGAACAATTCCACTACCTCCTTTCAAATAATTATTCACTAGGATTTTCACTTTTTAAAAAGGGTTTGTTATAAAGTAGAAATGTGAAGAACATTTCTACTCTATAACACAATTTCAGTATTTGGAGTTTTGGAAATTCAATACTTTAATAGTAAAATTAAAGCTGAACCTCATGTTTGCCAGTTTTGTTTTTAAAGAAAATACCTGGGTGTTAAGTATCGGCAGTAAATGAGAAACAAATAATTGTGACCTAATGTTTTGAGCAATTGCTAATTGATACAAGGGTAGGTTTTCTCAGGCAATCTAACTGATGTAGATAACACTACTTTTACTGAAAAAAGCATGTAACAGATGTTCTGCAAGAAGAATAACAAACTGTGAATGTAAGTTTATTTCATTCAGGGAGATTACAAAAATGGTAATTCATCTCATCCATGCAAATCCCAAGAACCTTGTTAATATAATTATATCTGCACAGTTAATCACACAGAACCAAAAAAGGATGCATAAAGTTTGAAAACTCAGCCATTGCCTTTTTGGAAAGTCCATTGTTACATGATCATTTATATGCTTGTAAAGAACTTTACTATAGCAGTAGTAAAATACTGTAAAGAAAATCAAGTTGAATATTTTCTTTTTGCGACAGATGTCAGCTGATTTAGTTACGCCTTGGACTTTTATAGCACCTTCATTGGAAAACTCAAAAACATTTTATAAAGCTGAAGTCAGCCTCACAACACCCCTGTGAGGTAGGGAAGTATTTGTCTTTGCAGCTTGGAAAACGGTCATGACCAACATTCCTCTAATTTCCTGTGCTGTATTTGGTACAGACAATGCTTCCTCCTTCGCAATGGTGTCAAACATCTTCATATTCCTGGATTTGCCATTTGACAAGTTTTTATGTTTTTGTAAAAATGAGTAATTCCAGTGAAATCCACTATTATTTCTGTCTTGGTGAAACAAGTGTTAAAACTAATTGATTTTGCATTTTAATAACAGCCTTTTATCTGTGATAGTCAAGTAAATTAGCATATAAGTTCATATTTATGGCCAGATAACCTGAAGAATTTTATCCTCTTTTTTGTTTGTTCCTAAAAGAAGAACCATTCTATGCATCCAAGAGGATAAATGTGATGAGTTCTACTCTATCCCACTTCAGATTGAATAGGCCTTCAATCTTTAATGCTTCCTTCATATCCCAAAGTATAGACTTACTGCAGTTCTCTATCACTTATGCATCACCTTTCTACTTGTAGGAAGCTTGTGCAGTAATATTCAAAATGCAATCCATAATGCCTACTGTCTGAAATGGCACAATCCAGAATTCTACCATCTTTGTGCAAAGCACTTTTATAAGCGAGTTGTATTTGTTCATAGCAAGCAACTATGCCAAAGCAGATTCTTCTATTTGTCTCCACAGAAACTTCTCACTTCACCTTTTTATTTGTACCTCATTGCAGATCTATTAGGAACTATTCAGTATTATAACCTCACTAGAACTTTAGTACTGTATGTGCAAATGAATCAATATATGGCCACATTGACTTATAGGAATATTTATGACTAGACTAAATTCCAGGATGTAATAGTTTTTAAACATGAGTGGGAGACTCCCTGGGCAGTTGATACTATTGCTGTTAAGCATTTTCATCCCTCCTTTGGAGCCAAGCCATCCTCTTGATTTATTAAGTGATGAAGTGAATGGGATATGAAGTAATTCTTGGAATGAGTCAGACCATATACAGAGTGAGACCCATCTGAACTCTTACTCTGCAATAGTGCAGGCAACTAGGTTGCTTATTTTTCTGTCTCCACCCAGAAACAGGCTGCTGTTGCTCATCCATATTGTATAGCTAGTCCTCCACCATGATGCTAGAAGGATGGAGGGAGTAGAACAGTTGGTTGTAAATTACATTGTACTTTACAATTAATGAATTCTGTCCCAGCTTGGACTGCAGAACTGGGGCAGATGCTAGGGATGTGACCGTGACAACCATTTTGGATTCTTTTCAGCATGTAGATTTCAAGGATGTGCACAGGTGTGGAGTGATGATAGCTACCACCTGATTACGCAACCTCTGCTTTTCTTGGCTGATTTAAATGGCCAGGATGAGCCATGCAAGGGGAAATTATTATCTTCCTATATTCCCCCAGTCCAAAGAAGGCAATTAAGGTGACCAATGGCCTTAGATGCATCTGAATTATGATGATTTTATGGATCCATTTTCACTGGGCTTTTGGCCAGGATAAGGTAATAAAACCACCTTCTGGACTGCCTGACAGGATTGAGGCTTGGTATTGTTTTACATGATTCCAGTTTTTCCTGTTGGATCATGTCCAGATGGCAATACTGATTTTTGTTCCTATCATCCTGACTTGTATCCAATTTTGTTTCCCTACTCTACATGAATTTGATAGGGGAGTTTTTTCTAGAACTCTGGTGTCAAGTATCATTGCTATGCTGATGATACTCAGTTCTACTGCTCCTTACCATCCAATTCCAAGGACGCATTTGGTAACTTTGAATGTTGCCTAAGTTTGGTAATGGATAAATGTTACTGTTGGTAAAAAAAAGGGGATCTGGATTCTGGGATTGAGATACATGCTGTTTTTGACAAGGTTGCAGTCCCAGTGAAAAAAGCAGGTTTGTAGTGAGGAAGTGCTGCTTTGATCCCTAGATCCCACTGGATTAGCAAATGGTGAGGAGCACCTTTGCAGAGTTATGTTTCCTGTGACACCTGCATCCCTTCCAGTGTTGGTTAGATTTTTTACAAGTTACCCATGCCTTGATTACATCCTGTTGTGACTATTGCAACACACACTGTGAGCTGCCCTTGAAGTGTCCAAAAGTTCCAGTTGGTGCAAAACACAGCAGGCAGGTTGCCAAATGATGCAAGATGCAAAGTTCATACAGTGCTGGTACTCAAAGATCTGCACTGGTTGCCAGTTGCTTGCCAGGCACAATTTAAGGTGTTGCCATTAATTCTTAAAGTCCCAAATGGCTTAGGGTCTCTGTCTCTCATTACAAACTCATCTGCTTGTTAAGATCGGGAGAAGCCCTTTTAAAGATGCCCCACTGCCAGAGATGTATCCTTTGGTAATGCAAGAGGGCTTTTTCCTGCCTTGCTCCCAACTTTTGGTACACACACTTCTTGTATGTGCATTTATCCCTCTCTTGTTTTGTTTATAATATCTGTAAGGATGCATTTATTTCATCAAGTTCTTCATTGTTAATGATTTTTTAATGCTAATTTTAATTTGCATTTTTAATTCTTCTTTTAAACAAAATTTTGTTAGCTGCTCTGAATGCCCAGTAGAGCAAAAGAGCAGTGCATGATTCAAATAAATAAATAAATAAATAGCACTTACTATAAATTTGCTTCTTTTTGAGAAGTGGACAAAGGATAAGTCCCTTTAAAACAGTGTACATTTTGTAGGTTGATATTACCCTATTTTGTCTAAAAACAGCTTTTGAAAGCAATCAGTTCAGTTCCCTCCATAGTTGATTTGGCTTAGGCAATTTATTCAAAAACAATTGGATTGTTTGAAACTAAGCTTCTGTAATTTCAGTATTCCACACTGTCAAAATATGAATATCCATTTCCATAACAGGAGTTTAAGGCCTCTGCATAAAACATGTTTACATACAGGTCCTACAGAAGTCAAATACATTGAAATGAGCATATAAAAGATATGCTCTCTACAGAGTTTTTAACTGTACACCATGACTGAAAATAGGGTTAAGGTCACAGCCCATCTGATGCCAACACCCTGGATTTGAATATGAGACTATATAGCTCAAGACCCCAAGTTCTCGATGGGACAGTTGTGCTGATTGGACCTATGTAGGCTGAACTTCATACCTCTTGGTCCCTATTCAAATGTGTCTGCCAAAATACACTGAACAGGCACATCAGCTAAATAGCATGGTGTGATTATGAACCCCCACTGGATATAGGCATTGCTGTTAAAGCCACATCTGCATATGGCTTGAATTATACATTTTAGAATTTGTATGGAAGCCTCAGAAAATGCTCTTGGGAAGTCCTAATGCTTCTACTGAATGAACAGTAATTCTCAGGAATCTTTTTACCACCAGTACAAAATACCAAGATGTATAAATGCTCTGGCAGGAGCAGAAAAAAGCAGTTCTACAAATAAAATTATCCTATATTCTGTGCTATACTGTATTATCAAAATGACGGATTAACTATTTGTGTAAATGCAGTTAATCTGCCCCTTAGATTCCTTTGTCTGAAGTTGACAGTTAAAAGCTTGCTAAAGTATAGTTAATATTTGAACATGGACTGTTCTTATTTAAAAAGTGTCAATCACTCAGTTATGCAGCTAAAATGTTATAGCCAAATTAAAAAATATGTACATGGTCTTCCAGAGGTATTTCAGTTTTTCTGTGCATTCATAGAATAGGCAACTAACCTAAATACAAATTCAGAATGAATTCTAGTAGGCTAGATGTGATTTCAGAGGTACCTTGTAACCTCTCAGAGACAGACTGCTAAAAACTGGAACTATTTTCTTCAGGCTATCTTTTTTATTTTATTTTAATCAGCTCACAACCCAATGTCTGGACTAAAGGATACTCATTTGCATTCAGATCACCTCAGTTTGTTTCTTTATAATCAGTTCTTGTGCCCATGGATCACAAGCGCGAAAGCAATTGTGTAACAAGTATATATTATATGACAGTTGTTAGGATAGAATAAGATGCAGAAACTTCAGAGTGCATGAAAGATCATAAACCACCTATATGTGTGCGAGCTCTCAAAAAAGGACAATCTCAAGGAACAATTCAACAATATAAAATATGTACTTTGATCACTAGAGCTCCATTTTGTCTTTTTAAAAAGATTTCATTGACTTTAATTCAGTGGTGTAATATTTCAATGAAAGCATGTTCACTAATAAAAAGTATCCCAGATGCCAGAATGCGGGGTTTATGAAAAGCATCAAATTGGAATCAGCATGTGAAAGTTTCTGCTTCACTACAGATAGCTGTCAACTTTAGCATGTTGCTTCCTCCAAAACAACAAACAATACTTTTTTTTGCCACTTTATATTACTCGGTGGTTTTGCTAGCAGTGACATACACAGAGTGAGGTAGACAATGACCACACATTTCAAGTTACTTATATGCCACCAATACTTCGCAATAGCCAATTCAATGCATATCTGTGAATGAATTCAGTGGAACTTTTTTTTTCTTGCAACATGCATAAGACTGCAGCCTTAAGTTTCAACACCACGATCATGTATTTGCCACATTGAAGTGATGCACGGCATCAGAACATGTATATATTCATTAGACTCCAGAAGTCATGTACATTTCTATTATATTTATTAATGTTACAATGTTAACTTGCTCTGCCAACTATGCCCAAGAACTCAAGTGAATACAAAGGACAGCTTCATCTACCCTATCATACAGTATATTAAAACTTGATTCATGTGTAACAATTTTAATAAAATGTCAAAGCTGGAATTTAAAATTGTAAGTTTCACATAATCTTAGTTCTTCAGCTTTAATACCCTGCAAAGGCTTTGTTGGCAAATAGACAACTTTCAGGAAAGATACACAACTCAATGGTGTCAGCTGTAAGTTTACTTCCAGTGATCTGAGCATCTGGTGGCCTGGTTCCGCATCTGTATAAAACACAACTACTTAGAAGAATATATCTCACAATTCTTAATAGGAATAAAACATTATTCTAAGCAGTTTGTTCTTCATTTAAAGCAATGATTTCATATCCTAACCAGTCCTTAGTTGCAAAGTCATATTTATAAAGTACATGTCTACCTCACAAGCAATACATTTGTGATGTCTTAATCGTGGCTCAAGACTCCAGAAAACGGCCAGACATTTGAAAAGACATATCAGCAGTGGCCAGGTCAGATTCAGATTGGAAGAAAAATAAAGTAAGATTTTTTAAGCCAGGAAGTAAGAACTTCTTTGGGAGCTGGTTCGAATTCTATTCATAGTCAATGTCATATAGCACAATATAGCACAAACTAGTATTCAAATACTATTATATTAATATTTGTCCAAATAAATGGTTATATAGCTGGTCAGGAGACTGATTTTTAACTGAAGTTGTCATTAATCTTTGGGCAGCAGGAGGAAAAAATGCCATAAATGCAACATCTTATTTCCAAAATATATCCAAATTTCAAACAGTAAGAAACCACAACAATGGACATTTTTCACTATACATATAAATACTTCCATCCTGCAAATATAATGGTTTGTGTGAGCAATAGCTGATGCTTCCCAACAGATTGCTAAGGCTAAATACTCAGCATGAACTCATCAAAAAATAAGCCCCAGATATTACAGGAGCAAACATTTATTGACCACTGATTCAAAGAAAACCTAGCTGTTTGAGATCCATTAAAGAAAAAGAAAAGAATATATAGTTGCATATTCCATGCAGCTATTTGACTATATTGCAATTTCTCAAGCCTGGAGAGCTATTTCTCAAATGAAGAGTTTACACAGATGAAGCCAGTTAATATACAGACTAGTGTCCATAAATTTTCTATCAGGATGTGTATTTATTTTCTGGTAACTAAATTAAAAGAAGTAAACTCAACACTATGCTGCATATTTAAAAGAAAAATCTGTGTGCATTAGAGGTTCCTAGTAAATTATGGCTACATATGAAAGGATATAATAAATGGGGCACAGGACAAACTGCTCATTTAAGGTCACTTAAATTTGTCTTTTATATTATCAACTCAGATGGCTGACTTCTGCAGGATTTCTTAGAGGAATCCAGTAGAGCTGGTTTCGAGTTTCAGATGGCCACCAAAGAGTTGTAACCTTTTCCAGAAGTTGTGATCCACATGGTATCCACAATGAGTGCAGCAAGTCTGAGGTAGTCAACCCTTACGAAGGCTCAGTATCTGAACATAAAAAAATTTGAAATAACCACTGGCTGCAGAGCAATCAAAACACTGGGAACTCTTGTTCAACCATTTACATTAATTTCCCTCATAATCCAAAGAAGAAAGCCAGGTGTACCAAATTAAGTATATTTCCAAAGTGCAGAAAAGCGATCACTTACGTCAAAGTAGTCTGCACTTGTTGCAGTAGATCCAGCAGAAACAAGACGGCATGTTCATAATTGGTGTGGTTTAGTTACCTTAAGAGTGGAAGGGTATCAAATAACCATTCCTTAATTGTAATATGTGTGCAGCTTTACTGATCCCCAAGCACAGCATATTGGTTGTCTAGCTGAAGTTTAGTTGCCTGGGATTTTGAAACCTCATCCCTACCTCTATTTTTGTGTTTTACTACTTCAAAGCTCTTCTCCATTTCTTTATCCCTAAGGGAAAATAAATGTAATCAGTAACTGTCTTAGACACACTTGCCCTTTAGCAATATTAATCAATGACACTAATTTAGTTGCAAATTTCTAAGACTAGGGCTCTAACAAAGCAGACCATAATCCAAAGAACTACTGCAAGCATGGCTAAGATGACATTTCTCTGAACAAGTCTCAGTGCCGTTTCATAAACTGGTTTTTGAAGTATCAGTGACAAACTGAGTTCTGTTGTTCTAGTGTATAAATTCAAAACACTTGAGAGCATTAGTGAAGCAGTTCACTGGATTGTGGCCACAAAAACTTATCCCTACACCCCAAGACTAACACTGCAACAGCATGTCAATAATTATGAATATGTTAATGTCCTACTGAATGCAATAATCAGCAACTATTCCAAGGCATAGGCTAAATGCAAAGGGCTGCACAACTATTTTTGCATGCCTGTGTTTTCTGAACTGAAGTACCTCAAGCTACATGGAAGCATGTACTGACAGAGGGTGCATATTTATAAGCAGTCTGATATGAGAAGACTGACATTCAAATAAAAACTCATTCAGTATGTGGGGACTGTCTAAAAGTCATTCTTATCACCTGATTTACAATTACAATCCCAAGTCTAGTAACAGATTATGAAACAAATCTGGCAAATGCCATCTTTGTCTAATACTTTATTGTACAGATAGACTATTTTAGTTGAAATTTACCGCTTAAGTTGAAATTTGATAAACCTCCTAAAATTCAAATTCAAACCATTTACACAGTATCTGTTAAAATACTTAAGTTCTGCTATGTACCAAGTCTCATAGAGGACTGCAATTCGATATTAGGAATGGGCACAGATCAAGTTATATAACATTCTCACATCCCACCCCTATGAATAACATTCTGTAAATCAAGAATTTTTTTTTAAATTTCAATCTGAACTTCTGCTGATAAAATCCATATCCTCCCTAGCTATGCTTAAAACACACTTGCTTCCTCTACTGCAAATCACACTACATACCTGTTTATGATCTGTGCATAAGATTACAAAACTCTGAAGAGATTGTTGGGTTGGGGGAAGAATGACTTTAAGGAAATCTTCTAGAATGTTATTGCCATACTTACTTTCTAGTATCTACTTGCTTGGCAGTGGACTGCAATGATGGAAATTGTGTATCACTATAGATCTCTGGGGGTCCTTGTGGCATTTTTCGTGTCCTGCCCTCTCTTGCACCAGGTGGCCTATATACTCCACTGGATTGCACTGGCTCTGGATTTTCTGAAAGAAGAAATTAAAAAAAAATAACAACCAGATGTAATTAGATAAGTGTTAAGTGCAGTTTTTCAATTTAATATTTAATATTCAATCTACACTAAATACCCTGCCTGTATAAGTAAAGATTCCTCTGTATCAGGCAATATATTAAGCAAGTATTAAAAACAAAATAATATTTCCAAAAGCAGTATTCATTCCTAACAAGAAATCATAGCTGCATTTCAAGCTTATTCAATAAATTTTCATTTAGCTCAAAAATGAGACAACATGGCTAATTCAGTAAAGATTACTTAATTAAAACGAGCATACAGCAAAACTCACCAATAATTTCAGCAACAGGTATTTGTGTAGGAACAGACCTATTCCAAGGCCCAGATGATTTCTCCATACTTCCACCTGGTTCTTCACTATTATCCCTTGGTTCTTCTCTTTTTTCACTTTCTTCTTCGTCTTTTTCACTGACAGAAAAACAAAAGGTATTGTAGCATTTATCACTTATATAAACAAATTAATATTACAATATGCAAACTGTGTAACATATCGTACTGAGCATATAATAGTACTGAAAGTATGTCACTATTTAAAACAAAAGGGAACATCTCTAATCTCAAGTGTTTTATAAAAGGATAAAGGCTGATACTAACAATTAGAACACAAACATGTCACTAAACTATAGGCTGCTAACAAAGGGGCTGCAAAAATTTTGAGTATGAAAAAAACCTTCAGTTTTTAATAATCACCAACTAAGATTCAATACTGAATAGCATTTTGTTCACCATACCAGGTATAGAAATATTAAAGCATTTAAGAATAGCAAGTATGCACATTGATGACAATGACTGTTTTGAAGCAATACAAGCCATTGTGTGGCAGGTTTAGAGATATGACCTGATTAATAGTTTTTCTTAATTTAGAATTTGCAAGTAGTAATTGAATCAATTACAGCCAGAACTATATATTTCAATATATATACATATATACTTTTAAGGCAGTAATACCTAATTTGCATGGACTGAACTCTGAGACCACTGTAGTCAATTATTTCTTCCTGCTCAAATTCTTTCCAGTCATCCTCTTCCTGTAAGATGAAGATTGCATAGGCTCATTATCATTTCTTAATGATGGTCAATCAGCACTGAAGCTATGGAATGATTGTGTCACAGTAAAAAAAAAAAAGAAAAAAAAGTTGTCCTCCCAGGATTTAAATATTCCTAACTCTTCTGCTGCATCAGAGGCTGAACAGTGTCTATTTTATAACTATATAGTCCATTTCTAACATTCAGCATTCCACATATATCCCTTATTAATATGCATGACTAATTTATTCTCAAGACAGTAATTAAATGTCTAAACCCAACAATCAGATCAGAATGAAAAAGATAAAATGACTATGTTGCAATTTCAAATTTTTCATTCAAAACATATGCTATTTAGAGATTTTAGTATTGTTTAATATGGTTATCATTTTTAGCATTATACAAGCTGGTTCCAACTTTAAAATCAAAAAGATTTAATGAAATAAAATTAGCATTTAAAACTGAATCATACTTCCAAGATAGTAAAATCTCTCTATAGTATGCAACATAGTATATTGTGTGGGCTTTCTGGCATTTAATCTCTTGTCCCCACTTCCCTATTTTATTGCACACTCCCTGGAGTTATAGAAAATAGCTTTGATCTGACTAGCAGCAAAATCAAAACCCTCAAATTCTTAGAGCAAGTTTTCAGAGGCATGAAAAGGGGGGAGAGTTTAGATCCAAACTACTATCTATCTTTGAAATTATTACAAAACTATTATTTCTAGCCAACAACGTGCTGTGAATTGACTATGAGGATAGTCAATTCATACATCTGACCAGAAAACTTAGCAGACGAAAGTATTTGCAAATTAGGAACTATTTTGCTGCATTAAAATGACATGTACATTTGGTCAACAGCCAATGTATTATGATGTCAAGATGGAATATATCTTCATTTACCATTAACTGCTGTAGGCCACATCCATCCAACTGCTTATCAAGCTCCCCTCCCCTCTCAGAGTCAGCAGGAAATCAGGCTACCCTAAATCTTGCTGTTCTACACTGCACCCTTATCGTGTATCCAGAATGGGTTGGTGCTGTATAACAAGCAACATATTAAGGGCTCTGAGTGGTGGTTCCTCAGTTGAAATTCCAGCTGTGCCCAACATTATCCACCACATGAAAAATCTTCTCCAACTGGCATGAATAACTCTCTGGTTTCTCCACAGGTTTTTTTTTTTTTTTGGTGGTATTTTGTTTCTCACTGTACCATGACTGAACCTTTTTCTATTCTTTATAACCAGGCTGCACAACTCATAGAGGGGAAAGGTGTACCGGTTATTCAGCAGCTAGCAGCGCAGCAGCAGCAATGAGCTATCAATGTCGGAGAGGCTTGTAGGTGCTCCACAGCATGTCTTTTGGGGCAGAGGTGGCTGCAACAAACTAGGCAGCTGATCCTTCCTGGTGGCAGCAATGTTTGGCAACAGTGAATTTGTTGAGTTTTCAAAAAATTGGCAGACTGCACAAGGCTGCTTGACCATAGCTTATAACCAGTTTGTCTGTTTAACCACTAGGTGGCATCAAAGAGCTAGAATGTTTTGTTAACTCTTAGCTGCCATTTGGTGGTTGTCCAGTTCTGCACAACCAAGGCACAGCTGCTGAGTAAGCGTTGTTGAAGACTGCAGTTTAACAAAGGTTTTTTTCTGTGGAAGTTGTAAACTGCCCTAAGAACATTATATGAGAAATGCGGAGCCAGGTCTTCCTTGGGAGCAGCAACCATTACGAAGAGAATTCCCCATTATATAGACTACAGAAGCACAAAAGGCAAATTCTTCAATTACACTTTCTATGACATGCACTAAGCTATAGATTTCAGGGCTTTGCATTCTCAAGGTCGACCAACTTATTAAAAAAAAGTGGCAGCAGAAGCCAGATTCTGATCTTCTTTGCAGCCGAACCAGCACTGCAGAATAGGTACCAAGTTCAGTGACCTGGCAGAAACAGGTGGTCCTGCAGCAGACTGAGGATGAGCAGATCATCACTTCTGACCATGTCAATTCAAGCATCTTTCCCCATGGCTCATGGATGGTCCAGATGGAATGCCTTGAGCTGGGATAAGAGGGAAAACACTATTTCCAGAATGGAGCACCTAACATGGCCTTCAGACTGTGTCAGTTGCAAGCTGACAATGAGATGCAGGTACTAATATACAAACATATTCTCTGGGAACAGTTAGTGGGGGCCTTTTCACATTGGAGCAGAGACTGTGTGGATATGGCCCTAGGAGGTCAAATTTAGATGAGCGCAAACAAAAGTACAGAGATGTTTGAGCTTTTATACTCTTCTCCTCTATATAGACAAGAGAGAAAACAAAGGATCTTTCCAGGTGAAGCATTAGTTCTATAAATAGTCCATTTCTAACAAAGAATTTTACAAAAGATTCAGACAATGCTTTTTTAAGTATAACACTGCAATATTTTTATTATAAAAATATGGGGCGGGGGGAATATTTACATGATTTCCTACCAGAAGAACTCTCATTGTCATTTCTGACTTATTCATAATTCCCTGGTACGTAACACTTTCTGAAACATATACTTTATTTCTAACCATGATTAGAAATATTTGTTGATTCTAATCAGACTGTACCATTAGTAAAAAATGGAAATGGAATCATACTCTCTTTCAGGAGGAGAGTTATAAATATAAAATTTGATAAACCTAGAATTTATATAGTAAAAGGCTCAAATAAGAATTCTAACTCTTAGTCTCTACTGGGATGAAATATACTACCACATAAGCAGCATTTGGGGTGATCACTGTGTAGAAACAATTCATGATGCTTTAATTCTTCCACTAAGATATTTGTTCTTCGTGGCATGTTTACAATTGCATACCACTAGAATTTAGCTATATGCTCTCTTATGTACACTGACCTATGACATTGAGAGTAGTGTATTAACCACACTATATTCATGCGTCACACAAATCCATAATATATTTGAATAGCTATAAACAGTTTTATAAAGAGTGTTAGACTATAAACCTCACAAATGATAATTACTGGGTTCACACAACAAAGTAAGCTGAAAGGAAATGAACCATGAATTAACCTGACATATGAACTCAAATGCAATGAAGTCCAAGTCTACCTAAAGTGAAAAACAGAAATATGTCACACAGTCATTTTGGGGAATCCTGAAGAAACTGCCTAACTCCAAACTTAAGCTTCTGATAAAAAAGCAACCTAGAAGAACCCCCTTATGAAAGAATAGTTCCATGCGCTGCTTGGAAAAACCATTAGGAAGTTTTTGTCCCTCTTTCATAATATTAGACCACAGGGTTATCTGCTGACAAGGGGCATTCCAGACAGACTCAGAGTAATTCCACTGTAGTGTATATAGTTAAACTATGGAATTCATTTTTGTTGGGTGTACTAATAGCCAACTTGGGTGCTTTCAAAAAGACTGAGACAAATGCACTGACGGTAAGCTTATCAATAACTATCAGTCACAACTATATATTACCTCTGGAATTGGAAGCAATACACTTTCCAACATTACTTGCTAAGGAAAAATGCCTCCAACAGCAGCCCCAACTTGCTCTTAAATCTACCCAAGTTGACTTGACCAGGACTGAGGTGTCTCAATTGCCTACTCTTGCTCCCAAATATAATTTTTTGTGTTTCTCCCAGGGGGGAGTGGAGGCAGGCAGGCAAGCATGCTGGATCCTGAAACTTAACCTCTGTGTCTGCTCCAGCCACCCTGAAGACAGCTCATCTTCTACTTCTTGCAAGAGGAATATGATTCCTCATTATGAGAGGCCACTCCGTCCACAGAGTTCTGAAACACAACCTGCATATACTGTACTCTCTCATGGTATGGCAACAGCTTCTCAGGTGACACATTTCTTCTCTTGTGGTCATCAAAAGCCTTGCTTCCTTTGTAATTTTTTCACGGGGGGGGGGGGTTGCAAAAATTTATATATTGTTTTAGGTTACAGCACCATAAACCTTGAGAATGAGTGCCCTATAGAAACAGAATGCTGGACTAGATAAAATTCTGGTCTAATCCAATGGGGTAATTCTTATTTGTATCAAAACTAAGTATGAAAACCTCATTATTACTTTCTGAGCTATTTAATCCTTATTATGCAGTGAGTGCACTGTGATACACTTAGATTCTTCAATAGCTGCTTTTGGAAGGAGGCAATAAAAATCATAACAACCGTGTGCTACTCTCATACTGTAATACTGCGAGGTGAGTGCCCACTCTCATCCTGCCTCAATGGCAAAATACTCCTGCTCCCCAAGGCAGCAACTGAGAAAACAGCTTCCCGTGTTTCCAAAGCTCAGGTAAGGTAAGTCTACAGCAGTAAGATGCAGGGTTCAGACAGAAAAGACGTGAGTGCCCTGTGGAAAATTTGAGACAAACCTGGACAAGCAAGACTGGGAAGGAGGCCAGTTCCCGTTTGGCCCCAACAGTCGCCCCACGCACCACCCTATTTCCTAACAGAATGGATTCCCATGGCCCCTAGCCTCGGTCTCACGAGCAAAGAAAGCTAAGAAACGGGCCACCACGCGCCCTATAGGAAGTCTAAGATGGCCTGGCTGAGCCGTAGCGATGCCCTCTACCGACAGGAAGCTACCAACGCCCACAGGAAGCAGTCAGGGGAAAGTTTCCTCCTCCTCCTCCTCCTCCCCAATCCCCCTCCACCCCAGTTCCTAGCCAACTCGAGCCCATAACTCAGCCAGTTCTGCCCGTCCGCTCCTCGGTCCCCTTACCTTGTTTGCCGCCTTAGCAGCGCCGGTGCCCGGGTTAGCATTAGAGGCGGCTCCATGGGCCCCTTCTGCTTGCCGGCTTCCCCCAGTCC